GGGGGGGGGGGGGGGGGGGGGGGTATGCGGGTGGATATGTCTTTGTATGCTGCAGCAGCTACGGCTTTTGGGAGTTAGTTCCTTTTGCGTGTTTGGGTGTCTTGGGGGGTCTTCTGGGCCCCGTCTTCGTGCGACTATGCATGAAGTGGCTGCGCATGCACAAAACCTTCCTGGGCAACGGATGCAGCCCAGTAAAGGAGGCTGCCCTTGTAGCCGCCGTGTCCGCAGTCACCAACTACGCTCTGCCGATGATGCGACACACTTCTGCTGTTTTGCTGGGCAAGCAGTAGCACATCAAACCCAATCCGCAGTCCTACACCCTGTAACCCGAAATCGAACAGTAAACGTTCCCAAGGCCGCAGTGACCTAGTAGTAATAGCAATAGGATAATTCTGTGAAGCGCATGTAAGCCTGAGGGCTTCTGGTTTTAGGGTTGCTTGCTGCGGTGTTCAGAGAATTTGTTCTCTCGCTGCAGCGCAGACGCCTCAGCGGACCCGTTGAACATGTGCGTCCGTGCGAGCAGCAGTAACAGCAGCGGCAGCAACAACAACAGCAGTGGCATTCAGGGCCCCGCCCCCTCCGACGCGTACCGAGTTGACGGAGGCCTCGCCCTGGAACTTTGTTGCGTTTTGTTTTTCAAGACGATTTTGACGGTCTTCTCCTTCGGCCTCATGGTGCCAGCAGGCATCTTCATCCCAGCTCTGACAGTCCGTCCAGAGTCTAAGCTTTTGGCATTAGGGTTTTGAGAGACTCCGAGTTCGATAGTAGTTGTGTTCCTCACTGTGGTAACAAGGTTTAGAGTGCAGGGTTGCCTGTGTCCCCTGTTGCATGTATGCGCGCGCGCTTTGGCAGTGTGGCTTTTTCTGGTGGCGTGTCTGATGTCTTGAGCGGATATTTCTTTGGGATATAGGGTTTAGGACTTCGCTTCAGCATTGTTTGTTCCTCGGCTTTGTGTGTTACAGATTGGGGCGTCTTACGGTCGTCTGATGGGTTTGCTGATGCTGCGCCTGCGATCAGTGTTTACGTTGGCTGCTGCTGGGGGGCCTTCTGCTAGTCCCGGGGCGTATGCATTGGTGGGGGCTGTCTCGTTTCTTGGGGGCGTCACACAAACCAACATTGCGCTGATAGTCATTCTAATTGAAGTCACGAAAACGTCGGCGGCTCTTGCGCTGCCCTTTCTGCTCTCCCTTGCCATTGCCAAACTCCTCAGCGCACAAACGCAACAGGGAGGGTTCTACGCCGCCCTCATTCGGTTCAAGAAGCAGCCCTACTTCTTCCATGAAACGCAGGTCCATATGGTAGTTAGCTAGCTAAGACACGCAACACACACATGCGCACACATTGAGAGGTGTAGAAAGGGGAGGGAACATAACGAGAATCGTCTCCTGCAGCTCTTGCTGCCGGTGCGGCTGCTCATCGTGCTACCTGCGCATGCTGCATGTCTGCCCGCTGCGGTTGTTGCTGTTGCTGCGTACGGTGAATGCGCTGTAGCTTGCGCTGAACATATCGCTGCAGGGGGCCGCTAGACATAGCCGTTTACTCACAATTGTGGTGTTAATGAATCTGTCCCGCAGGTTTGTTTCGACGGGCTGACCGCTGCGGAAGCGATGACGAGGGACCTTCAAGTTTTGTCCGTAGAGGAGACTCCAACAGTAGCAGGCCTCAAGGCCCTGGCAGAAAAGTGCGCAAAATGCTAAACCCTAGACCCAAGCCCCAGCAGAGCAGCGATTGTGTACCCAGCAAACGCAGCTGAAGTCTGCCCCAACAACACTGCACCGATCTTATTTTTTAGCTGTAGTAGCACTGGCAACCACCCCAGAAGCAGCTGTGAAAGTGTCTATGTTGGCTGCAGCTGCGCCTTCCACGGGTTCCCAGTAGTCCTCTCGCGCACCAGCAGGCGCCTCTGCGGCTATATGCATGCGTGGCAGCTGCGGTCGCTGTTGCAGCAGCTGCTGCAGCTGGAGCATCCTCTGGTCCATGCCCACACGCTCGTCTCCTTTCATGCCTTCCGCTCGTCGGCAGCCGCTGTTTCCGCACAGCAGCATCAGCAGCACCAGCGGGAGAGGGCTGTAAGGTCGTCTGTCTGTCTACTTGTCCTTGACGAAGATGGGACCTTACGGCAGTCTTTCCCGCTGCTGCATTTGGCGGCAGACGGCCGTTTGCGAGTCGCAGCACCATCGCCAGCAGCAGCCTCTGCAGCATCTGCACAGTTGGAAAGAGGACACTCTGAAGGAAACAAATCATTTTCTGAGGGTTCTTCAGGTGCAGTGGAGATGCAGAGGCTGACGTGTGTCTCGCATCCAAAGGAGCTCGCCACAACAGCGACAGAAACAGATGCAGGAGAAGATGCAGCAGTAGCGGCAGCAACAGGGCAATGCACTGCTGCTGGCGTTCAGGTGTATGTTGACCTATCGCTGCTTGTGGATGAGGAGGTGCTGCAACTGCCGCCCCACACTCCTCTGTTGCAAGTATATCGGCTATTCGGCTTGCTGCAGTGCGAGTGGGTAACACGTATTGCTGCTGTCACTTTACCGCTGCTCTTGCTGCTACTGGTGTTGCTGCAGTTGCGGCCTGTGCAGACGGTCCTCAATATGCCCTGTTGGGATTGTGACAGGTGTTGTTTCTGCTGCCGGGGGTGCAGCAGATTACTATTTTCAATGATTGTGTGCCCGCTGTTGCTGCTGCGCTTTTTAAAGGGTCTGTTTGCTGTCTCGCTGCGGTGTCTTGGTGGGCCTCATCGGCAAGAAGAGTTTCCTCACTACCATGAGGACTCCACAACTAGATGAGTGCTGCTAATCTTCTTGTACGCAGCAACAGCTAGTGCTTCTCCAAATGTAGCACTTGACACCACGGGTATGGCGCTGCTGCAGTACTTCTGCAGTACTGCAGCAGCTGCTTCAACAGTAACAGCATTACGTGCCTTCTGCTCCAAAAGCAACAGGAGACACGGGAGAGTAACGGGATTCGTTTGGGTTTACAGACGCCGAGGGACGTCATGCAGGGTGCGTTCTCAGTGTTTGTGCCTGCGGTGTATATATAGCTAAAGCCGCAATGGGCACATTAATCCAGAGCAGAGCAACTCCGTAGCATTTTTGCTGTCTCCAGGGCTAGCAGCCTCTTGTCCGGGGTCATCACCGCGGCCATGCCGGCCATTATCAAATTTTTCTTTTTCAGCTTAAGCAGTTCATAGTGCTACATATTTCAACTTAGACACAAGCATGCAAATGAAGCAAACAAATAAAAGCAAAGGCAAGGACGTCGTAGCAGCAACAACACGCCCGCCTACGTGCAGCAGTGCAGAGGCCTCCCTAACTGCCTTGATCGGTGTTGTTGATGCTGCAGTTCCTACCGCTATTGCTTTTCTTTTTGTCGCTTTCCATTCCTCAGAGCCACATGCGGCCCCGAGGATGCACCATAAGCCTGGAGGTGAGGTAATCCTGTGACCATCAGCAGCAACCGGTGCTGTTGGGCGATGGTGTATCGTTGTTGCCGCTATAAATTGCTGCGTGAGCGGCAGCTGTTGCTGCGAGCACTGCTGCAGTTGGTGGGCCTGTTTCACACCCTGTGTGTCTGACTCTGCTGCCCGCCCCTCCGTCTTTTCGCCCGCCCGTGCAAAGATGTCTTACCGATAGCAGAGGTCCCTAGATTTGTCGCTGGACGCCCCTTAGTCTTTCACACCAAGTAGGAACAGGCGTACTGAAGTATTCACTGGGCCTGTAGCGGTCTGCGGCACTTCAGAGACTAAAACGATAACAAGGACAGTAGTAATAAGAACTAAACACTACCGAGAGCTTCAAACCTAGAAGACAACACACTCAAAGGACGTCGGAGCTCCCGCTGCAACCGGGGTGGAATCTGTTGCTGCTGCTGCAGCCACATCAACGAACAGATTCAATAAAAGTATGAAAAAGTGATAGTACTTTTAATTTCGACCTGACGGGTGAATTAGTTCAGCCATCATAGCAGCAGCAGCAATAACTGCACACCGCGCAGTGGTGGGGGGTGTTAGCAACACCCCACGGCTGGCAGTCATCTGCCTACCCACCACCGCCTCTTTTACGCTTGAATGCAGTTCGCTATAACCGGAGACTATTATAAAGCTCAGGTAATGAATTATTTGTAAACTTTGCTGTGCACACACCGGCTTCGGCAGCAGCTGCTGCAACACGAGCAAGGTGTTCCGGTGTATGGACAGCACCCACCAGCCCAGGACTCAGGACCCCACTGCAGGCCCAAACATACTCTTCGCTTCTTTCTCCCCTCTCTTCTACAGCATCTATTCTTCTCCACTGATCCAAAAGTCCGCGCACATTGACAGACGAGTTGCGTTCCAGTTGTACATACACCCTGGCCACCTGCGCAACACCGGCGCAGACAGCATCTGGTCTGCTTTAGTCGGCAGCACGACTGCAGGGGAAGCTACGACCCAAGCAGCAGCGATCACAGTGGCAGCGGAAAGGGTATTAGCCCTTGCTGCAGGGAACACATCAGCATCGGCAGCACAGGAGCAGCAGCACAAACAGGAGCAACGGAGGCAACCAACATGACGAGCACGGGAACTGGGTCCGCTGCAGCTGCAGAGGTCGGCCGATCCTCGTCCTCAACTGCCGCAGCAGCAGGGGAAACAGCAGCAAGAGGAGCAGGAGGAGGAGGAGGAACTGCAACAGGAGGAGCTGCGGTCGGTGATGAGGCGGCAACAATCCCTTCTGGCTTCCTGGGGACACTGGTCCCTGTGCGGAGGACGTTCATTGAAGAAGTGCCAGAGGATCTGCGTTGCCCAATTTGTTATGATGGCGCAGCAAACTGCAGCACCCGCTGCGGTCATTCGTTTTGCCTGCACTGTCTGTACAGCCACATCACCACGCGTATCATCCACCAACAGTCAACCGCCTGTCCTCTCTGCCGCTCTGCAAACGCTGGACTTGGCATCAGCACTGTCTCTGGCGAAAAATCCGCGAGGGTCAGCAGCAGATGCACTCGCAGCAGCAGCACATCTGCTGCAGCAGTGAACTGCAGCAGAGAGCTGCAACAGCAACTAGCTGCAGCAGCAACTAGCTGCAGCAGCAACTAGCTGCAGAAAAGGAAGTGCAGCAGTGACCTGTAGCAATGACATGCAGCAATGAGCAGCAGCGCGGTGTTGATTTGGCCGCATATGTTTTTCGGTGTGAAATGTCCGCCTGCACCTGCTGAGTCCATTGTGTGCATGGCAGCCTGCTGTCACTTGTCCCTGTCTCCGCCCACTGTGGCTATTAGCTGCCTCCAACTGTCTTCGTCCCGTTTCTGCTGTTGCTACTGCTGCTGCACCTGCTTGCAGGCGCGTGCCTTGCGCGTGCGTTGTTTGGGCTTCGAAGGGGGTTGCCAAGTAGAGGGGCCGCTGGCTGAGGTGGAGCAGCACGAGGCCACTTGCCCCACAGTCCTAATCTTTTGCAGATTCCGAGATGTCGGCTGCAGTACTCCTGTCCTACGCAAGGAGGTATGCACTGCTACCTATGTTTGGTCATTGGCTGCCGCTCGCGATGTTGTTGATGTGGCTGAAGGTGTGTTCCTAGTGCTGCTGCTGCCGCTCTGCCCCTGTAGCTGATGCTATTTGTTGCCGGAGTTTAGTGAATATATGCCTTCCTCTGCGTGGGATGCTGCAGGCATCTCTCCATGAAAATCGGTGCCGCTTTAACCCTGCTGTGCGTTGCTGCCAGCATTATCTCTCTGGTTGCAGAGTGAGGGGCATCGAGGAGCTGCTGCAACAGCACGAGCCTCGCTGCAGGTACTGCTGATCCACAACCGGTGTCTGCCCCTCTTCGGCAGCAGCAGCTGCTGCTTATTTGCTCGGTTGTATGCCACCCGTAGGGGCGATGTCTGCAACGCGCCGCTCTGGGTGGCTCAAGGCTGGCCTGCGGCTGCGGGGGTTTGAGGGGTCTTTGCTTAGCAAGTTTAGGGTTGAAGGCCTAGGGTTTAGGACTTTAGGTCTAGGGTCTCGGGGTTTGGATTTCGGCTTAAGGGCCAATGCCTTCTTTGCAGGTACCGGAATATGCAGAAGTTCGTGAGTTGCCGCCACGTTTCATTGGGATGTGGGTTGCGCGTGCGGAAGCAATACCGAGAAAGACACGCCGAGTGCTGTGCCTTCAAAATTCTCCACGAACTCAAACTCAAAAGGCGCGTCCAGCAGCAGCAGCAACAACAGCAGGGAGCATCTTTGGCTGGGCGGAGTAGCGCTCCTCTTAGCGAACGCACTGCCGATGGCGCAGAAACGGCGCCAGCAGGGGCAGCAGCAGAACGCCCCTCCGCAACAGCAACAGGGGTACAAGGAGATAGCTCCTCCGCAGCATCCGCAGCAACGCAAGCTACTGCCGGCGTCCCAGAGGTGGTCGAAGAAGCCCCCGCACCCGAAGAAGCAGCAGAAGAAGTTGCTGCTGCAGCTGAGAGCAAAATGAGCGACTGTGCCGATTTGTGTTTGGCGCTACAGTGGAGCTCGCCCCAGGCGTTGCCAAACGAGCTGTTACTGCTGCGGCTGCAGGAGTTTCTGCCCAACGTGACGGCCATCACCGAGGGGAGGTTCCCCGGGGAATTTCACGTTGTCCTCAAACAGCAAGTCCATACACTGCCAACTGCTGCGGGTGCTGATGCTAGTGTTTCTGTTGCTGTTGTGGCTGTTGCTCCTCTGCTGCGGATGCTGCGAACTTCTGGCCCTACGGCGGTGCTGCTGCTGCTGTTGGGCTGGCTGTACGCGCTTGCACTTGCCGCTGCTATTAATTAGCGTGGCAAGTGCACTCATGGCCGCAGCTGTACGCGGAGTCCGCCAATTTTGCCTTTACTCCCCGCGTTTGTTGTTGAGTGGCAGTTTGAATCGCGGGCTGCTTCTGCTGTTGATGTTTCTCAGGGTCCCGTTGCTGGCAGTTCGTTCGATTGGGATGGCCGGGGATCCGAACATGAGCTCAAATCTGTCGGGTTTGGGGCTTCTTTACAAGGGGCTCACCACCCTCCAATCCCCATAGGAGTTCGTAAGAGGCAGCCAGATACCCTCTGCCTTTGTTCTAGGGTGGGCTGGGTTGCGGTCTTTCGCGGATTTTATGGCCTTCTTTCTTCCTCCAATTTGCTGCTGCCCAACTATTTTAATTCAAACATTGTTGCAGTCACACAAAACCAGTAGAACGCGGGCTAACGACCTTGCTAGCTGGAAGGTACACATGGAGAAAAATACAACGAACGCCCAAATGCAGACGAACACTTCACGCCGTATACAGCTGCTGCAGCAACAGCGCATCGGCAGCGGCACCGCACCACATCTGCCACAACCACGGCGCGTTGCTGTGGCCGCAGCCGCAGCATGTGCTGCAGGCCGCTGCACTCCATGTAGCAACGACGATTTCCCGTGCCTCTATTTAGGCGATGTCTAGTCCGTAACTGCACCACCACTTGCAGCAGCGCAATACCAGCAGCAACAGCAACAACAGCCGTCTGCAGCACATGTGCCCGTGTTGCTTTAGCGGAGTCCCATTCGCCTCTGGTATTCGTGCAACTATGTAAAAAGAAACTGCTGTGGATTTGATGCTGGGGGAGTCTGGACTGCCCGGTTCGCGACCAGCTCGGCTGTCGTTATTTCCCGTCTCCTGTTGATGCTGTTTGCTGCAGCAGCAGGAGGGATTGCTGTTTCTTGGCGTAGCCAACAACAGTAGTCTGACTTGCGGAGAAGCTGGTTCAGCGCTTATGTATGAATTTAGGTGTGGGGTGTGAGTGCTGTTGCGTTTCGGGTGTCTTTAAGGGCGAAGGCGTTGTAGTGTATTGGAGAGATATATGTGAGGAACAGATGCCTCTTGGGCTGCATTTTGCGTCCATCGTTCTCGGGGTCGTACCGCAAGTACCAGCTGGAGGGCGTGGAGGTAATGAGGTGTATAGAGCAGCAGAACGCGTCTGCAATCGCTCGGAGCGACAACTCATCTCCCCATGTTCCACTTCTGCTCATGTCCCTCAAGTAGCATTCCAGAAGCTGAGGGGTCTCGAAGAACACCCCATATACCGCCCGCTGTCTGCGCATCTGTGCCACAGCCTCTCGCCGCACAAACCCATGGAAGCCTTCGCTGCCGAACAAATTCAATGAACACGAACGGAACTGGCAATTGCCGTCACCTACGGACGTCACAGTGCGGCAGCCGAGGAAAGACAGCCGCTGCTCCAAAAGGTCGACACTGTTCGCTTCCCACGCATTCACGCTCTTGGGGTACTCTGCTGCGTCTCCACCCGCTGCCGCTGCTGCTGGGCTGTTGCTGTTGCTGTTGAACAGCTGCTCGTCTCGGCTGTTCCTTCTAAACAGCCATAGACGCCGAATCAAACGGGGTTTCTGCTTCTCCTGTGCCTCTCCTAAGTCATCAAGAGGTCCAGACTCTCTCCTGTGCTTGTGAGAATTCATCAGCGCCACGCGGCTGCTGCATTTCTTGAGCTGCAGTGCTGCCGGACCTCCCGAGGAGGGGCCACTGATGGGAACCTTACGCCCACCCTCTCTCTCCCCACCAGCATCAGGGAGACTTAAATGCCTCCTCTTAAACTCCCTGTCCGCTCGGATGGCCGCCACTCTGTTGCGGACTATCAAATACGCCTTCAAGACTGTTGCGAAACTCTGCACGTCAACGCGGCGCTCCAGGCGGTCGAGTAGCACGAAGTCTTCTTCTGTCATCGGGAGCAACGCAGGGCCCTCACCTCCTCCTCCTGAGCGTTTTCTCGCTCCCACGGTCCACCCCCGCACATCTGGTGACTCCTCGTCGGAGCTCATCGAGGAAGAAGAGGACCCTGAGGAGCTCAAAGCCTTCGAGTCAAAGCAAGTTCGCACCATGGCGGCCACCAACAGACCTTCCCGCTCCTTGTCGTTCAGCACCAGCTGGTGCTACTGCTACAGCAGAAACGCACACAGGCACTCTAGAGTGCCTTGCGTGCTGCTGCGGCTGCAGACACTGGTGGTGACGCTTGTAGAGTCGACTTGACGCTCGCTACTTCTCTTGCAGCAGTGGTCCACGAGTACGCTGCTGTCTTCGACGCCAAACCCAATGCTGCTGAAGTGCCGGAGAAAAACGGGAGTAGGAGAGCTCGCATGAGGCCGTCGCCTGCGCCAGCAACGAATGACTGCTGTTACCTCAGAAGGACCCCCGCGTCGCGGAGACTTCGGGGGCCCTGAATGACAAAAAAAAAACTTTTGAAGGCACGATTTAGATAATTGAAATCATAAAACATCAGACGCTACGGAAAAGCAAAGTGAGAGGAAGGCTGCCGCCTCGACCCGCACGGCGGTCACGGGCTGTTTGCTGTTGTCGTCACTGCTGCAGCTGCTGCCGTTGCTGTGGTTGTTAGCCTCCCACACAAATCAACCTACTAATTAATCAATGCTGCATCAGGATAATTAGCTTCTGCTTCTAGACAAATGCTGCTGCAGTAGGGACTCCACTACAGCTGCCGCTGTAACGGACGGACGAGGCAGAGAAATTTATCCAAAGGAATCAGAGGGGCCCCAAGAGATCGACTTCCGCTGTTGTTTCCTTTGATTATAGAACACTAAGGATGGTTTCCCCTCATTGTGAAGTGACAAAATGCAAAAAAGGAGCTCATTCTTGTACGTGCTATTTCATAAGAAGGCTTTCATTCAATTCCTATGGGAACACCTTGGGACAGAAACTCGTTCTGGAGCGTGTGGTTTCCCTAGGCTGTCAATAAATTTGGGGCAAAACAACATGAAAACGAGAGTTATACTTGAAAGCGCTTTCTTTCTAGTTAACTCTTTTGCTCAATTCGCCACTAACCAACTCAAAGAGGAAATTCTTTCTTGAACATGCTCCTCCCACAAGAAACACGTTCACTCAATTTGCATTCTAGCAACCCGAAGAAAAAAACTCGTTATTTAGGGTTTTTGAGCCGTAAATAATACCAACTCATTCAAGAAAGTTTTCTTTGGGATACATCCAATTTTGGGTACACTTAATATGCTTTCGTCGCCAGCTGGCAGGACAAGAAGCCTTTCGTGGGAGGCTTCTTCTTTTCGATTTATTTTTGCTGCAAATTGAGCGAACAGCCTATTTAGACACTCACATTCCAGTCTTCTAATGCTGGCTAGTTTTCTATTTATTGCGCCTTAGCAGCTGTTTGCAGCAGAATTTCAAAACCAACATTTTTCTAACGCTTCGTGTAATATATGTATATATAGTGACTTGATATGGAGTAGTCACCGACATATGTCTCAGTGAAAAGTCCCCAATTGTGGATTATAGGCTCTCTGAGGAAATTCCAAGTGTCCATATATACGATCTTTAGCTCGGACAGCCCCACAAGTGTAGCCATTGTACATAGTCCGTGCCTGCATCAAATGGGCGTACATAGGGTCTTATGCTTGCATGCCTAGCTTGACCATTACAGTTGTTGAGCCAAGAAGGTCTACAACGGCAAGAAAAGTTTTGTCGCATATGCCGCATCTCGTCTTCAGTGCCAGGAGGTCTTGAGTCGCTGTGTGCATTCATCCTTAAGATTCGTACGTGATAATCAGGTGCTTCTGTGAAACTCTAATGGTCTTATGGAGATCCGTTGGAACTTACAACGGTTATCTGCACAGGCCTAGTGCCGCCTGATTTTTCGAGGTCATTCAACAGTAGAATTCATGCACACTCTTCTGCTGCAACTCTCTTCGGGGCACGGCCGTACCTGCCGGGTTGAGGTTGAGGTCGAAGGCGTCAAGTGAGGAGGAAGCAGCAAAATTGTCTTTATTCATGTTTAGTTGGGAGAGAGAAAAAGGCTCAAATGTATACAAGAGCATACAACGCACTGCTAAGAACAGCCAACGTCTCGACGGAGTCTTGACTGTGCAGCAGAAGCCGCTATCTACCGCAGCATAATAACACGCACTGGAAAAGGACCTAAATGACAGTGTTTCTAAGTAAAACCCTGAAAAATGCACCAACGATTAATTATTTCTCGTAGAAGCGGGAGAGTATCCTGCAACCATAGTGAACGGTCCGGCCAGCTCCCTGAGCACCCTCGCAGGGATATGAGGAAAGAGGAACCCCAGCAAATATATTTCAGAATTAGTTAATTTAAAAACTAAATATGCCTGAGATATTATGAAGGATACGCTTCTCCCCTTCCCGGTGGACCGACATATGGACGGCATATCGCGCATTATGACGTCGTTCTTTTGATGCTAGACGACTGCAACCCCTGAGATGCTCCGTAAAGAGATGAAACCTTCTTAGTTATTCGTCAAGTTAAGACAGGCGTAGAAGACATACGAAAATGATGCGCTTCCTCCGGAGCCGCTAGCTGCATCACGGCAGCAGCCCAGGGCAGTAGTAGTAGCACCGTGCGCAGCAGTTCCTCCGTCTGCAACAGCGGCAACAACAATAACAGCAGACAGCTGCGTAGCGTGCATGCCTACAGCAGCAATGACTTACCAGAAGCACTCCACTGCTTCAGGAGCTCTGGGTCTCAGCGGGTTAGGGGAGGCCTGCAGTGGCCGCCTCACCAGAAGCAGGGGAGGCAGCAATGCCGAACACGCTCAACAGCCCTCAACAGCTGCGCAAAGTATTGCCTCTCTAGGTGCGTGTGGCGACTGTGGGTCAATCGAAGAGGCCAACAGTTGTCGCAGCTGCGGCGGCAGCAGAAACGCTGGAAGTAGCAGCTGCAACAGGAACAGCAGCAGCAATGAAAACAGAGGTGATGGGGACTTCGTTAGCGATGTCTTGCTTCGCGAGTTTGAGTTCGAGGACTTCTCCCGCGCGTCCTGTTGGGAGCAGCTACAATATGAGCTGGTCTCCTGTCTGCGCCGCCTCCCGATTATTGCAGCTCGAAGTCTGTATTTGCAACAAGTGGCGAATGCGCATGTAGAGGCGGCATCAGCAGCTTCTGGTGCTTCTGTCCATACTGTTGCATGCATGCACAGCGATGCGAGCTGCAGCAGCAGCTGGCATGCCTGCGCAGTCCCTCCCCCCCAGTTCGCTTGCTTGTGTTGTTCTCCGCAGCAACAACAGCAGCAACAGCGCTGTGCGCTGTCTCTGCAGCTTTTTGCTCCCCTAGTGCTGCAGCTGTTGCTCCATATTCCGAAGCTTCCTATCGCTTCTCCAAAATATGCGGAAGGCCATCCAGGGCAACACTTGCGGATTACGTACACGCGTGCTCCCCCGCTGCCCGAATTTGGCTGCTGCTGCAGCAGCAGCAGCAGAAGCAACAGCACCATCTGGGCGTCAGCAGATGCACCGCGACCGGAACAGCAACCTCCAGAAGGCCTGCGCCTCTCGAGCCCCTCCATGTCCCCAATATATTTCGACAGCAGCACCGACGGTTGTAACTCAACCGGCAGCAGCAGCAGCAATAAGAAGAACAACAAGGAACTTCGTTGCGGCATTTGCGCTGCATGCATTCTTAAGTGGGAGCACTTCTTTCCAAGCCGCGCACCGTCAATCCAGAGGAGCTTTGGGGGTGAGTTTATTGTCTGCAACTAAATATTCGATTTCTCTGGCGGATATCAACTATTTTTTGCTGCTGTCCCTTGCCTCTGCAGTGTCGGAGTTCCTGCAAATCGAAACAGTCCGTTTGTGCGAAGTACCGGACGCAGCAGCAGATGCAGCAGCAGAATCAACAGGATGCGCTGACCAGGGCGCAGGACCAGCTACAAGGGGAGCTGCTGCGGCTGTTCCGCTACGCGTCCGTAAGGAGACAGCACGCGCGTCCCTTGCAGCTCTCGGAATAGCGTCGCGTGCAGCTGAGCTGCGCCAGCTGGAATCAGCAGGCCAGCTTCAACAGCATCAACAGCGGCAGCTCTTAAGTCAGTTGCCGCTCTTCTCTTTGCATGATCCACAGCACGGGGATTGCGTAGGTTCGCAGGTGCTGGTGTGTCCAGCGAGCGTTGGCTCAGGATTTGCTACAGAAGCATCCGCAGCAGAAGCGGCACCGGAAGATGATGAGGAAGCAGGGGCCGGCGGACGAAAAGGGAGCGCTTTGCTGATACGGCAATATGAATCTCGTTGTCTCTCTTCTGATTTCGTGGATTGCGACCTCTCTAGTGCGTCTTGTTTGTCTCCTGTCTTCAGCGAGTGTATTTCCTCCAGGCCACTTTAGTATTTGGTCGCTGTGACTTGTGCGGTTTGCCTTTGCAGCGTTTCTTCATTTGCTGCTGCCTCACCTGGGTGCGAAGCTGCGACAGGTGCCTCAGTCACACGAACAGCACCACGCCCTGTCTCTGCTGCAGCAGCTGGTTGTAACGGCACAGTACACGTACTTTTTGCCGAGCCCTTGGCAGCAGACATACAACAGCCGCCAAGCAGGTGGAGCTCTTGCAGCTGCCGTTGTCGTGGGACCCGAAGCTTGGTGGCTACACCAGACCAACTATACCTCCGATGTTGGCAAAGGCACCAGCAGCTGTGGCAGCAACAGCAGCAATAGCAGGAGCGGGCCTAGCGAATGCATCATCAGTGAGTGGCGTGAGGTAGCTGTGGGGGCCGCAACTCTGCCGTTGGGCTCGGACGGCACCCCGGCGCCCTCTGCCGACAAGTTGCTACAGCAGCTGCTGCTGCAACGGTGCCCCTTCGAGGCTCTGCATGTGATATGGTGCTCCCCAATGCAACCGTTACGAGACTTCTGGAGCAGCAGCAGCAGCGGCAGCAGGCCGCTTGCTGCTGCGCTGGACTGCCGCCTGCGGCTGAATCTCAACGCTTCCCTGTTTCTGGCCCACGAAAAGCTGGTGCAGCATTACAGCATGTCGCTGAAGACCCTGGAGCGGCAAGCACAGCATGCAACAGACTTTCTGCAGGAGGATGCGTGGCAGCAGCAGTGCGGCGTTACCAGTCGTGTTTACCAGCTGAGCCGCTTGCTCCTGCTCGCCGGCAGGAGCAGCAGCAACTGCAGCATCAAGCAGCAGCCCTTCGCTTCCTTGACTTCGAAGGCCTTCCGTGATATCGAGCGAGCACGAATTCGCCGCCGGGAACCCCACGGCGTGCGCATGAAAGGGCAGTCTGCTACTCCCACAAAGCGCAGCCGAAGGGACAGCACCAGCAGCCTCCGCAACAGCAGCAACAGCAGCAGCGACAGCAGCAGCCACAACAGCAGCAGCCAAAACAGCAGCAGCCACAACAGCAGCAGCAACGACAGCAGCAGCAGAAATGCCAGCATATATAGCACTACAAGAGAGGCTGAAGCAGCTGCCATCGAAGCGGAAGTGCAGCACCTGTTCAGGCCAATGACCCGCCAGCAGCAGCTGCTGATACATGAGCAGCAAGTTAAGAGGCTGCTTCTTATCGGCATTAGCAGCTGCACTCCATGTAGCTGCTGCTGCAGCGCCTGTGGATGCTGCGGCATTGACTTGGCATTCGCGTTGTTGTGGGGCAGCAGTAGTAGCAGCAGCTTCTTCGCGGAGTTGGCGTTGTGTGCAGGGGAGCAGCAGCGACTCGTTGAGGTGCAAAGACTCTGGCAACGGCTGCTTATGCAGCTTCGCTGGATGTGGGATCGGAGGTTGCTATTGCCGCGTGTCGTTTCTGGCCTGACGGCTGCAACGTCGATTGCATGCGCAGCGGAGGCAGCGGAAGCAACAGCAAAGGCAGAAGCAGCGGCCACAAATGGCTGCGAACCCCGGGGCGCTCTAGCAGCGGGACTGGGGGTGGCCTGCTGCCCCGACGGCCCCAGTGCGCTTCCCGATGTTTGCTGTTGCTCCCTACAGCAGCAGCTGCAGCAACTGAACTGCGCGACGCAGCAGCAGAGGCTGCAGTGGCTCTTGCAGGACATGCCAAGGGAGCAGCAGCAACAACCCTTTGAGTCTCTACGATTTGTACTGCCTCCCCCAGAGGGTCTTTCTCACTTCCACGAGCCGATTCTGCCCATTCTTCCCCCCATCACCGAGGCGAGTTTGACAACCGAAAGACTTTCCTTGCTTGACAGATGCTTGAAGGTGTTTGCGTTGCACGTTTTTATTGCTGCTCCCCTTTGTGACGACAAAAAAAAAGGCCTCAGATATCTCTGTGTCCAGTTGTATTCTGCTGCGGGCACTCAGGGCACCCTTGCGATGCATGCGGCTCTCCTGAGAGAACGCAACAGGAGCGGATATGCAGCGCGAAAGGATTTTGGGGACCACTGCGAAGAGCTGTTAAGGGTGGCAAATAAAGATGCGTGTACATCCCAGGCCAGTGCAGTTTGGTGGCAGCACTGCTTCGCTTGCCTGCCCCGCAGTGTGGAGCAGTTGCTGCAGCAGCGAGGACAGCTCTTGCAGGAACGGGAAAAAGCGCATTCAGCTGCTCTCTCTGCACTCCGTGCTTCAGGTTACACACGCGAAGCGGTGCTGCAGGCTGCGAGGGCTGCGACTGCGGCTGCAGTGACTGCTGCGGCTGCCTTTGCAGCAGCACAGTCAGAAGAGTCGCAGAAGCCAGACTGTGGGAATGTCGAATGCTCGGCAAAAGTGGAGAAGGAGCAGCTCTTTTTTAACAGCCTGGTTGGTTTCTGTGTTTAGTAGCCGCCGCTTGAACTGGAGGGTGGTGAGCAGGGATTTATGTGTGCTCATGTTCTGCTGCAGTTTCTCGATGCAGTTCCGGTGCCCGCCTACTGCTGCTGTCGTTTTGATGCTGCAGGTTGAAGGCGAAGGGGCGCTGCATGGCCTGGAATCTCTCACAGCGACGGACCTGCTTGTGCAGCTGTTGCGGGTGCTCGTTGCTTCGCTGGTTGAACAATGCCGACTCACTTGTGCGTGCGTCTTGGGTAGCATCCGGCGCCGCGATAGCAGGCGCTGCATGTATGTCCCAGGTGTTGCTGCAGCGCGCTGTACAGTTGGCAACAGTTGCTGCAAAGGGCGGCTGTTCCCCTGCCACATCCCTGCTCTTCAAGCTGCTGCAGACGACCTCCAGCGACACGCGATTGCACATGCGGCGGGCGCAGCGGCTGCTGCTGCCGATGATGCCTTGGCGTGGTTGCCGCCCCTTGCTTTGCTTGCTGCGTGTATGCGATGTGAGTACATCATTTCTGCTGCCGTGGGACTGTGCCGACTGATCGGCACAGACCCCCCTGCTCTGGCAATTGTCAACCGCGCTTTACAGCTGTTACTGCTCCGGTTGCAGCAGCAGGAGCAAGCAGCAGCGGCAGCGGCTAGCTGCTCCACTGGGCGTCGAGAGGGCACACGCCAGACAGTGAGGAAGTTTCCAGAAGCCGAGTGTGACATCTTACTGCCAATCCTCTCGTGCAGTGAGAAGCGGGCGCTGCAGCAAATGTTGAATCGCTATCAAGGTCCAACCAAGAACTCCGCAGCAACCACAGCAGAAGCCGCTACCGCTCCTTGGGAAGCTGTCTTGCCCTGGCCCCCGTTTGCCCAGGAATTTGTCCTTCTGCTACAGTCTCACACTTCAGACGGGAACCAGCAAGGGGCACTCCGGAAGTGGGTGTTCTACTGCCGAGAGCAGCATGCCGACAGAGCATTTGCAGTAACAAGAGAGCGTTGCATTCAATAGAGTGCTTTATCCCGTTCGAACCGCCCAGTATGAGGAGAGGTGTAACGGTGCATTGAAACGCGTTTGCTACATTATTTTAAGGCACTCGGGACTGCGTCCTTGCTATCTGTTGGAGCAAGCCCCCGATATTACACTTCCGAGATAGTCTTACTTCTACCAGGGTGTTAAGAGACCTTAGGGCCTCAGTCTTCCGTGTTTGACGAAAGTGGGTTCGACGGGCTGGCGGCGTTTACCGTACTATGTTTACTGGTCAGGAAGTGTCGATGCTTCCTCAAAAATGACTAGTACTCTACTACACCCCCATGCACAGGCGAGCCTGCAAGTAATCTTCTGGGCTTCGGCATTATTTCGAATCGGTGTTTGCCACGAAGGCGCTTAATACGTCATTGCGGAAATCGTGTAGTGTGCAACGGAATAACTTTCGTCTCTCGAGGAACCTGAGGTTGAACCTCTTGGTGAGCCATAGACTTCCCCATTATACAGGTATATACAATGTATAAGTCTGTAACGTGCGAGTAGTACTATATTCTGACTACAGTATCCCCCAGCACGAAAACGAACAATCAAGAACAATGCGGTTCACGAAAAGTTGCGTGCACCTGCCGCCGTGCAGTATTGTGAAGGACTAACCATCCCACTGCCAAAATCATACGGGCAGCAAGAAGCTGTATTAATGCGGAAAAGTTGCACCTTTTAACGCATTCTAGTACTGTCGAGATTATCACTAGATATTAGGCGTATAGCCAAATGTCCAGCCTTTCTGCGAGTAGTTTAGAATGCCCTGCCTCTGATCATTATCCCCAAACAGTAGCCGGCTACTTGCTGATGTGGTGTGTCCCGGTGCACTTTAGATAATTAGCTTCTTTTGGAACTCCTGTTGTAATGATAGGAGTTCGTGGCCTTCGGGTAAGCGGGCGGAGGAGACGGCGAAGCACGGCAATCTGCATTTGGTTCAGCTTCCTCGTCGTTGAGCCAAGAAAAATCGAATTCGTTGGCGGTACCTGTCGCGCTTACGATTTGGTGAAGTAATTTGATTACTCTGATTCAAACGAACATGCAGTTTCCACAGGCACTCTTCTAGCTGCTCCTGTTGGACAAAGGCATTGTAGTTGCAAACGCCATATGTCATGACTTTAGATAACAACTAGGTGACGATGTGACTATTTCAGAAAGAATCCATCTATTGGAACTTCAAGCACAGCGATCACTTTCTTACTGCTCCATTTTTAGGAATCTCTTAAGGACTTCGTCTCTGCCAGCCATGGATAGCTCCCCTCCGGCTGTTATGCTACCTCTACTCTCTGCACCTTCGGTCTCCTTGGGTACCTAAACGAAGAAAATTTAGGTTGCTGCAGCGTTCTTTCATCTCGTCAAGGGCCTTCGCACGATTCTTTGCCTCTTTTTAAGCAGTGCACACTTGCCATTGTACTGTTTCGTTTGCCAGCTAGTCGAGCCCTCACGTCGAGCAGGCTGAACCACCGATAAGGCGCATGAAGGCGCAGTTAGTCGCATGCACATCAGCGTGCGCTTCCCCAAACAACTACGCTAACGCTGTCTTTGCAAACGGTGACAACATGCATCTGTGGTTTTGCTTGTGAGTTTGCGTGTATGCCCAAAGTACAACTGGCACTTAACTACATTGTATTAACCAAATGGTGACAGAGTAGGCAGTAGGCGGCGGTATGCGAACCACTGCTTCAACAGAAGCTCGAGCTCTACTCGGCGGCCATCAGTACCCCTCAACACGATGAGTTCACTCTTCTGCTTGTTGCAAAGTTCATGAAGGCGGGATATCTCAGCTCTCATTTTGAGTTCTCTTTCTGGAATCAGCACAGATAGCATAACTTTAGACTCCACTCCAGCCGCCTGAGGCAGCGAATGTGCCGCTTCATATTGCCCTGCACCTGAATCTCACCGTAATTGTTCGCCTTGGCATACTGACGTATTTTGGCCTTGACCTTTGCAACCGTACGGGGTGTTAGGGGGGGACCCAATAGGCGGGGGGACACTTCTGGGGTTTCTGGAGATGCTCTTCCACAGCCCTTCCTGGGAATGGGTAAGTCGCCCTTCTCTATAACTGCAATTAGAGCATATTCAAGGACATGCGTGACAATTGTAGACACAAGCCTACGAAAATCCCTCTAGTGCTTCAGCCACGCAGATGCTGAGCCGTTTGATGGGTTTGCTGAAAAGGCTCTTTAAACAGGCGCTGTGTTGCACCATTCTACATGGCGTTGGCAACCAAAATTTGGATGACACCTCTTTTCTGCACTTTTCGCTGTTGAATAGCCCTTTGTCTCATGAGTATTTCGTTTTGTTCCCGTAATATGGAATTTTCGGTGACGAGCTCCTTGTTTTTCTCTGTCTAAAGGGAAAACAGAGCTCGCAGATTAGAGGAACACTTGTTGCACCATTGCCGTATTACCCTTTTGTACACGCCAACCAAATGTAGTAGCAGTGCAGCCTGAGCGACTAAAATATACCCTCAGCCCTTCTTATTGTTGAGACATACCAGGGTCTTGCTTAAGGCCGCAAAATGTTTGGCCTCTTCTTCCGCCGCCTTGAGGTTTATTGATAGCATTTGGTGCAGAGTCTCCAGCTCCAGTGGGGGTTTTTGTTTCTAGAGGGACAACGTTGCAATGGTTTTAGGTATAAATATGCATCGCACAAACGTGAAACGGTGAAATGTGTTTACGGTGATGTTCTTACATGCCATTCGCTGTGTACTGCAGTCAATCTCCAACGAGCCAAAAATACCATCCCGATGCACAACTAGCTAGGTTGCAAAAATAACAAATGTATAGTGGGGATGGCTAAATACAGTATGATTTGGTTCCATATGCGATCATCTGTAAGCAGGCGAGGAGGCGGACCTTCTGAAGCTTTTTCGTCTGCTCTAAGATATCTTGAGTCCTTTACGAATTCACACACGGGGCATTCACAAATAGGGTTTCTCCCGCTATGTAAACGGAAGTATGTTGGTTCAAAACTGTTCAGGCGGTGTTGCGCTATAATAGTGAAAGTCTTTGGGAAGAGTAGCAGTGGCCATCTACAATAGTGAGCGCCTCTGGGAAGAGTAGCTGTGGCAATCTTGTCAAGTACCTTTGCTGGAATGTTCGTAGATATTGTTTTTCCTGTTCTGCACCATATGGGTTCACATTATTCATAGGGGTCGGTTCCTCCTTGCAGTCCGCAGATATATACGGGTACTTCTATCATGATATTTACTGGCACTAAAGATTTATCGGGAAGGGAACTGCAGGCCCTCGGGTCACCTTGCATGGACCTGACAACCGCTTCTTGTGCGGCGTCTATGCCTTTAAGCACAGCATCGTGCGTTTGTCTGATGGCCGCCAACCGGCTCTCAATACCCCTAGGATCTTCAGTGGATTGGCAAGATCTTGGTTTCTCGGCAGATTCTCCCCATGTGGAGGTGGAAAGCCGTCTCTCTCTACCAAACTGGCAGCATTAGTTAAAACGCAATGCTTGAAGGGCATGAGCTCATTCTGCCATGGTGAAGGCTTATCACACGCATCAGGCTTGTTGAAAGAATCTCCATTTAAAAAAAATAGGCAACCTCTAGACAGAAAACCCTGGTAGTAGTAGTAGTGGGCCTCACTTTATCTTGTCCACAACTGGGACTTTGGCGAGTAAATGAGACAGAAGTTTGAGGCTCTTCAGTTTCTGCTTGCTGGATACCCTCCTCAGTAGCCATTTTCTGTAGTGTGTCGCTTCAATGGGCTTTGACTCGTTACGCGCCCTGTCGGAGTCACCACATCACATTGTGTCACTTTCTTAGGCGTCATTGGAACACGCCAGGTCCAATGAATTGCAAAGCCGAGTTTTTTGACGATACTTCTCTCCCGATGATTGTTCTTTACGTGATTGGTGGAAGGCCGTTCGAGGCAATCGTAGGCACGCACAGACAGGCAGCTAGGCACTGGCCAGGGTTCTAGCCCCCGGGATCGACGCACTACTTTGCACCGCCCCTAGAATCCTCTCAAAATCTGTATATGAATCCATATGCTCAAGTGATAGTGAAGGAAAGCCCATTCCTAATGAGATGAGGTTCGATGATGCCAGTGAACATGGGTTGTTTGCGCACCGTACCGTCAGTGCTTCTAAGGAGAGTAGGCAGAAATGTAAGCGAGACTCCACTATAGTCACCTATGTAAATATAATTCTCAGGACACCTCTCAACAGCCTGCTTCAATGGTAGCCATGGTGCCGGAAGATGCTCTCCGTTGGTTCGTCGTAGCACTAGCGAGTGGGCACGTTGCATGCACGCTCGTAGCAGCCGAAGAAGCGGCAGGCCTTTCCGACGAGTTGAAATAGTAGATATTTCGCTTATAGAAATGACGAATAACCGGGAAATGTACTTTCGCGTATTGACTGTCGGAGCTTTTGCGCCTCCCATCCCACAGTTTTCAACGGCGAGCGTCGGTGGCCCCGCAGCCCACCGTCAGCGGTTCTGATTCTACGGCATTTTCATGCCCCTACTCTGGGGATAATTTCGTATATTCTTGAATCATGATGTGAAGTTGCAGTGATTTCAGACAAACTACATGCTCTTAGAGCTAGTATCTAGTGGACACCGTTCAGACGCTGGGCCTACTCTCCAGTGACGCTACATGTACGCTGACAAGGAGCATTTAAACCAACGCAACATCTGATGTCTTCTGCTCCTTCTATATATTTATTGAATCAAGTGCAGACATACGGAGACAGTGGGCTCCTTCTTCGGCAGTGCCAGCATAAGTCGAATCAAGGGATTCGCTGGGCGCTTGGGGTTGTTGAGTTTAGTTCGACTCATCTTCATTTCCCCACATGCATGGCCAATGGATCCTGATCTCGCTGACGCGGAATTTGTTGCTCACCAACAGCTCAGGGCTGCAAAACCAACACAATTGACAGAGGGAGACAAGCTTCACGCTACCCGGGAACCGTTGCACGACTGCGACGCAACGCACCTACGCCCTCTCCATGAACAGGTCCTTGTTCAGCTACGTCAGGTGACATCTCGACATTTTCCCAGCCACAATACAGCTGTACAGAGAAAGAGAAAACGCAACTGAAACACGTCCTGCTGCAAACAAGGACGCGTTGCATAGGAGCTGTCTCCTTTGTCCCTAACCGGCTGTTTACAGGTCAAGGACCCAGATATAGGACGCGATATTGTCGCGCTAGGTTTCGTGAAGGACCTAGAAGTTGGAGAGGAGGAGACGGGAGGCAGAAATGTCAAATTTTGCCTGAATCTCACCACCCCAGCCTGTCCCTTCAAGGGACAAATTCAAGAAGAAGCACAGGCATCGGTGAAATGCTTGCCTTGGGTCAAGGAGGTACTTATGAGGGAGTCTAATAACTTGAAATCACTCCACCCCACATTTTTTGTGCATTCAAAATCCGCTATTGTCGTCGGTTCTCGCTGTCTCAACTGCTGTGTCCCTCTCTCGTTCGTTAGCAGTTGCTGCTTGCAGAGTGCTGGAGATAGTTTTATACTTGAGATGATCAAAATGTGTGGATATACGCTTGTGCGATTTTGTAGGTGGAGGTTACCTTGACATCAATGGCTCACAGCCGCGGTGCCTCGTCCGGCCGACCCCCAAACTTGAGGCGTGTGGGTTTTATTATTGGCGTCGCTTCTTGTAAGGGAGGATCGGGCAAGAGCACTATCGCCCTTTCTTTGGCGCTGATGCTGAGGAAGAGTGGGGCTAAAGTGGGACTGCTAGATGCGGATATATACGGGCCAAGTCTGCCTACCCTGCTTAACAGGGAGGAGGCAAGAGTAGTTTTTGGTGCAGAGGAGAGTGAGTTGGAAGAACAAGCCAAGAAACCCACCCATAAAAGGTTACCCACTTCCCGAGGCAAAAAGGGAGCCTCAGCTTTAAGGCGTGGACTCATTGAATACGAAGAAGGGCCTCTGACGGTCTCAGCGGCCCGAGCAGGTCCCCGTGAAGATGCTTCCAAACCAAAACCTGCGAAGGGAGAAGATATGAGCATGATTCCCATTAAAGTTTCCGGCATCAAATGCATGTCATACGGATTCATAGGGAAGAAGAATGACCAAGTGGGTGCCGACGTAAAGTTCTGAATTTGGGAGTTGCCTACGACAGCCACTGCACAATAGGCTCTCTGCACAATGGACCTGACTTGCGTTTGTGGTATGGATTATATCATAGAGACTTCGCATGCTGTTCTTGTCCGCCGAAACAAAGCTCCAGATTCGGGTTGCTGTGAATGCCATGCAGGGGTACTCGGCTTTAAGGGGCCCATTCGTCAGCTCAGTCGTAGAGCAGTTGCTGACGGGGACCCAGTGGGGAGCCCTCGACTATCTGGTGGTAGATTTACCACCCGGAACTGGGGATATTCATATAACTCTCACACAGCAACAAGTGCCTATGGATGGTTGTGTGGTCGTAACGACTGCGCAGTCTCTTAGGTATGGATCTGAAGGTTGTGTTTGTGCTCGATGCAACACAGCAGAGGTGTTGCGCCTGCACGGTGATGCATGATGTTCCTACCATACGAACGTTTAGAATAGATGAGAAGCGAAGTTTCAAGCCCGCCCACCTCAGCTGCTGCTGTAGGTCTCCGTGAATACGCCTGCCCCAATGAGGTGCGGCAGGCGACTGCCGCTGCCATGTGCTGCCTTGTTGCAGTTTGGTGGACGCGGAGAAGGGCATTCGAATGTTGAAGAGCCTGAGCATCCCGACTCTGTCAGTTGTTTGCAACATGGCGTACTTCATCTGCAGCCACTGCGAGGAACGCCACGAGCTCTTCGGCCGCCCTGAAGCAACGCAGCAGCTGGCCGAGCTCAGCAGCGCCCATCAGTTGGTTCTGATTCCCTTCGACGTCAGACTCAATTCTGCCACCTTTGCAGGATCGCCACTCCCGGATGCAAGGGATTCTTTTGTGGATAGGCTGGGTCCTGACGACCCAGTAAGTCAGTCAGGTTAATTTTACTCCCTTGATATGGTGCTTTTGTGCGAGTGTCATCCCTTTGTCTTAGTTTTACTGTTTGGGACGTAGAATTCAACTTTTATGAGTGGTATATCCTGAAGGCGTGGCCCCGTAGCATTATTATACAAAATTTGAATGTATGTGCGCATGTGTACTGTGAAAAGCGTCGTCTGCTCGTCAGTGGTTGGATTTGCGCATTGGGTTCGCAGGTGTGGAGAGCTATCCGGTCTCTCGCCGATAGAGTGGCTTGCGAGTTGTCTACCCTTCGCTATGGATCCCTGAAACCCCAACTATCTCTCGCCGCCGATGGGTCTGCTGTCCTGGTGGCCCTCCTACGTCCCGAAGGAGCACTTTTAGGCGAGGGTGAGGGCATACAAAGGCTGCCAGTAGGCAGAGCCATTTAACACGCCCGTTGCGCTTTCAAGTAATCACTGCCTTACCTTGCCATCGAGCGGAGGAACTCAAACTTTATGCCTGGGAGGAGCCTGTTTGAACCGTCTGGCAGCCGCTTTTGTGTTTGGCATTTGTGCACTTTTCCTTGTGGTCGCCATGGGTATTAGGCGCCTGCAGTTAAGAGCTTTTGGCTAGCAGTACATGGAACTTGTTCTTTCGCTGGCTAGAGAACTTCCTTGATGACCAGACTGTGTAAGCAGCCTGACTGATTCCAATGCGTCCGAATGCTTACACGTAGTTGCAGATGCTCTTCTAATCAACACTTGTTTTTGTCCAGGTGTTTCCGTGATGGTGAAGGAGGCTTTTGAGTTGTCGGGGGACGTTTTGCGACCCCGGTGCAGTTGCTTCGAGTGCAAAGGACAGCAGAGAGGACTGCCTCCCTGGAAGTAAGTTGGTGAACCGTGCATGTCATTCTCCATGGTGGTTGGTGTCGAGTTAAATCACTTTGAAGGGTTGTTGCTTACATCAGGCGTCGTAGTGCATGGCCGTGAGCGGATGTGCCGTAAGTTGGATGAAGTGTCGTGAGGTGCAACCACGTGACAGGCGTTCCAGCTGGATTTTGATGCCTTCTATATGCTTTTTGCTCCTCACCAAAAAAGTGCTACGGAACCTGTACGTCCGCCGAACCTCGTGCTTCTCGCAATGCGAGAAGCACGAGGTTCGGCGGACGTACATGGGCTGCCGTCCTCCACCACATACCTGACAACTTTGACCAAATGAGTATGAAGTCTTAAAGAGATGCACCTTCTCCTGGTAGGGAATTCGTAGGCAGTTGCATCGGCTTATGCCCCGAGTTCCACCAAATTATTCTCGCTGTCCTACCTTCGAAGGCGCACAGTATAATGGGGCTTCTATCCACAATGCTCTATCCATACTGGCACAGGGATGTTGATGGTCAAGCGCGTATTGATATGCTAGAAGCAGGTGATGATGCACTAACCGTTATCTGGTGAGCACACAAATAACCACTTTCCACTGCCAACCTCGCGAGAATGCAGAATAACGTTTTCACTGTGGCTAAGTGCGGTGTACCCGAAATCAGGGTTACCCAGTTCGTCTGCTTGTTCTCTCATGGGATTCCAGGAAAGATGGACATGTATCTTCGTTTGCTATGGCCGATTTGCTGGACCTCTGTAGACAGTTGCATCTAGCAACTCCAGGCGAAGGTGAGAGGTCCACCTGTGGAAACGGGTTTTGTAGACAATGAATGCTCTTAAAAAAGCCCTGGCACGAAGAATTCTAGAACTTCTTGAGCGGGTCAGCTTTTTTTGTGTTGTGCGTGTTGGCAGAAGGTCACAAGTGCGGGGCTGACCCACAACTTGAATGGTAACCGTTGATTGGATTGGCTTCCCCCTTGGGCCGTAACGTCCGCGTATTAGCCAAACTAAGAAGCAACATCGTGGGCAGATGGTGTGTTGTGCTTTCTGAGGGGGAATTTTGGGCCTTGTGCTTTCACACGCTTCCTGGCAGGAAGTGCCTCCAGGGACTTCAAGGTGCTGGTTTATGGGAAAATGTATTTTTGATATAAGCAGAGCATTGCTAATGTCATCGAATCCGATGTAACTCTTTGCAAGATGGGCGTATTTTGCCCATAGCTGTTCCGTTCTGTCTTTGCTTATCGTTGAAGGTGAATTTTTCAAGACTCAAACGTAGTTTAAAGGTTGCCTATCTGGCGACGTCATGCCCATTTGGCACAGGAATTTGCCTAGGGAAACATTTTATTTAAAAAGATTTAACAGGTCACCGGTGGGGCATAACATGCGTTGCTGAACGCTCTTCCCATGTGTGAGGTGAACTGATCTGGCAGCTTATATTCGAACACACCGAGGCCTTCCACAAAACTCCTCACCTCTGGCGGACTCCTTATTTTGTGGTGCCTACTGCTCGCAGGGCCAACCACTTCTTAGTGGATATAGCAGCTGATTGAATGGCACTCATTACACCATATTCAAGCTAGGCAAATCATTTCTTGCCCAATTCGTAGCTTCTGTGTTGCAGACTCACATGCCTGCCTTGCCTGCTGCTGACTAACTGCAACGTGCTGTGTTTGCGTGCGGCACTGTATTTTTTCCCAAAGAAAAGTAATCCAACACACAATGCAAGCATTGCCATCTTCGACACGCTCTTACTAGCACATATACACGTGCTGAATCGTAGGGGGCGTTGAATCGTTAGACCCAAGACTCAAGGGTAAACGATTAATAGGTGCTGATTTAGGCCAGAATATTGCCGTTTTGGCCTAATAATATCCCTTATACCTTGGTATTTGACTATGATATAAACCTTAGGCTTCTACACAGTGCTCTTGGAAAAGACTGCGCTTCGCCAATTGTTGCTGCGGTCTCAACTAGCGACGATAGGAACACACGGGCGACTGTGACCAGACCCAACTCAAGTAGAAGGTGAGGAGTTTATGACGGAATTCACTACAAAGATTCGTAAAATGAGTGGGAAGAAAGACTGGTCGCGCGCTTTCCTGGTTGAACTCTAGGCTGGCCGAAAGTGGTTGTTCGGAACACGACAACAGCTTCCTAGGAGCAAACAGGAAAAACAGTGCATCTTGCACATATTTCCATAAGAAAAGCATATGTTCATGTGAGGGTTTCCATTGGAAAAGGGGATTAAAGATGCATCTATGGTATTTCCCAGCTACGCACTGGGAGAGCGATCAGCTGCCTGGTAGTCGACCTGCGCTCGCAGAGTCGATTCGGTTGCACATGTGAACACAGCCGGTCCCAATGGCTGCTTTCCGCTGGCAGTTTCCCTCTCCCTTTTGCCGTATTTTCAGAGTTATTCAGCTAATTTTCCATTATCGCAGCAATTTCATCAGCTTCTGTGGGAGCAAACCTCCACCTGTGTACTCTTTTCCGCTGCCAAGACTGGCGGCAGCGCCTGTGACAGCGAGCCGTCGGCCGTAGCCTCACGCGGGCTACGGAGCCCCGGCAATCTAAACCCCTGCTGAATCCGTGAAGCATATTTAAGCCTTTTCTATTTTGCTTTACTCTTTAGCAGCAATGTCTAACATACAAAGTGGGAATGCCACTCCCCGTGCCGTTGGAGTGAGCACCGCGAGCCACCAGCCCATGCACTCGCTGCCGCAAGTCGGCAGCGGGTTTCCGGGAATGGTGAGCCAGGGTTCTTTCATCGGGGCTCCTTTTGCATTCGGTAGCCCTCATGCAACTGACGGAGCAGCAACACCCAACCCGACCTGCGGACCATGCTGCTACGCGGAGCCCCCGCCAATGCAACAGCCACGACACGGCTTGTGGACATGGAGCAGGGATGGGCGCCTTAAACTGACATGTGAGCAGCCTATTGTACCAGTTCCTGTCATCCAAGAGATTCATAGACGTGACAAGATCATCGAAGTGCCCCAAGTAGATGTGGTGGATGCCGTTAAGCCAAGAGTGTTCAACCAAGGGGTGGAACATGAGGTCCCTAAAATGCGCATTGATGCTCAACCGGTAACAATTGAAATTCCCAAGTACAAGTATGTGGAAAGGGAAGTTTTGGTTCCGATTGTAACTGGATACACTCACAAATTCGTGCCAAAGTGGGAAATCAGGGAAGTACCCCGTCCAGTGGTGAAGTATGTCGGAGAGCAAGAAACAATTGAAGTCGAAGTCCCTCAAGTTAAGTTCGTGGACAGGATCGTCGAGAAGGAAATTGTGGTTGACACGATCGAAAAGAAGGTTCCAAAGATTATCGAGGTCCCCAAATACGTAGACACTGTGAAGTATGTCTGGAAACCCGTGGAGAAGGTAGTGCACGTTGAGCGTTTTGTGCCAAAATTCGACGTTTCTCTTGAATGCCCAGCTCCTCTTATCGTTCCTTACCCTGTCCAGAAGGTAACGGAAATGCCAGCAGTTATGGTGAGAAAGACCCCAGCAGAAATACAAGAAACAGAGGTAGAAGTCGTGTCTCCAGAAGGAACGGTTCGCGTCCCCGAAGAATACATCCGCGAATACAAAAAGACAGAAGCTCAAGAAGGAGGAATTTTGTGCCAAACAATGGAGTGCTGCGGTGCTGACAAGGAAGACGAAGTGCTGTATTCTCAGGGCGACCTCAGTTGGATGCAGCAACATGAAGATCAGGAGTCAAAGACAGAGCAAACACCCCAAGACGCCCAAGAATTCACAGGAGGCAGCCAAACAGGAGCAGTTTTGACTAGGCCACAACAACGCGACGACTCCGAAGGCCGCCCCTGCAGTGGAGAAAGCGAGGAGGCTCACTGAAGGCCAGCAAACACTCCTTTTGGTGTGCCGGAATGAAGCTTCAGCTTTAAGCAAGGATCTGTACACGGTTCAGGCTGCAGATAGCGCAAACCTTTTTAGCACATAACAGCACAGGAATGGGAGCTAGTTTAAAGAACCCGTCTATCTCGGGGCTGCGACGCTTCCTATTCGTTCACAAGGAACTTTGAGCGGCTCGAAGTTCATTTTTCATGCTGCAAAGCAGCTTCCCAACTTACTGGCTGAAAATGCTGGTCATTCCGGTTGCGCCTTCCCTCTCCACAGGAGTACCTGCGCATCTGATCCCCAGTTGAAATAACTAGGTGTAAGAAAAAGTGGCTGCACCTCTATACTCTATGGTTAAGCTGGCCTTGAACAAAATTGCTCTCCTCTTCTTACTTAGCAGCCCTCCCCCTCCTATAGATTTTAGTGTAAAACAGGAAACAAGACCATAGGGACGCTGACACGCCACTTAGCTGTCCAAAATATCTGAGCAAAACCTTCCCACACCGGGACTCGAACCCGGGTCGCTCGGGTGAAAGCCGAGTATCCTAACCACCTAGACTATATGGGACTACTGGTTTCCCGCCTCTGATTCCTGACTACACGTCCATCGCATAACTTCCTCAGTCATTTGAAGTCCTGAATACAAGAAAAAAACTTGTAAAGAGTGTATTTGATGTAAGTCCATCACAAAGATGCAGCAAAAGCCAATTGGCATTGGCTGCTCAAACCCATGTGCATTGCATGCGTGCCACTCGGTGCGGTGGCAGCCATAGGTCTAACTCGAATTTTCACTTACCCGCCTTGATACCATAGTAAACACATTTATGATCTGTTTGGTTCCATGGAAACTGGCATATATATGATCGGGAACATCGGACCGTCTGTCGCCAGGAGGCCTTCGGCGGCCTAGGTTGCATTCCACCCTGTGAACGGTTTGAAGGTTATTCATGCACAACCAGTTATCATTTTGTTGCCCCGCTTAATATCCTCTACATACTTAAGGCATTTCGTGATCGTCGTACTTCAGGCCCTCGACATCCCCGCTGCTCCACTCACCCTGCTGAAGCTACACAAATCAACAGGCGAATCCACACCTGTGCTAAAGGATGTCACAGCAGAGTGCTGCGCTGCCCTACACCAGCTGGGGCGACGTTATCCGTGATATACCTCCAGTGGCATGGGGCGCAGTAGGAGTTGCTCTCGCACTGGGTCTTTCGGCTATCGGTGCTGCATGGTAAACAAACCACCTACGCCGTGTCAGGGAGGCTGCTGTTGCTGTTGTATATGCGGGGGTTTCGACATACAATTGGCATGGTACTTATATGGCTACGGCGTACCTTTCCTGTGCGCTTTCGCCTTCAGGGGGATATTCATCACCGGCAGCAGTCTGCTGGGCGCAGCTGTGAAGTCCCCTAGGATACGCTCGAAGAACTTGGTGTCCGTAATCTTTTGCGAGGCAACCGCCATCTACGGTGTTATTATTGCTATCTTGATTGCGAGTAAGCTCGTAAAAGTCGATTTGCTCTACTATTATGATGTTTTCACACGAAGTGCCACTCCACTCAGTACGAGCATCGTAATTTTCCCGTTATTTTTTCCACCCTGTCTTTCATTAGGAATGACTACTTCCACTGGTTGTGTTCAGGCAAGCTTGATGGCGTCCCTCCGGATTTCATACAGAGCATGATGCACCCCACCAAGATTGAAGTAGGCAGGCCCAGCCAAGCTAGTGTTGTAGGGTGGTCCTATGAGTGAGACAAACGTGCATTGCATAGATATGGTGCTTTCATATTTTGCCTTCCGGGACTTTAGGGCAGGAGATGTATGCTTGGTGGCCCCCTACGTGCAGCAAGTGACTCTCATCGCATGTGTGCACTTCGGGATGTTTCTGTGGGTGCAACTGTAGAAGTGGCAGGCTGATGCCATTGCAGCTGGATGGGGTCTTTTGGCTACAGGGCTTACTGTTGGACTTTCCAATGTTTTCTCCGGGTGCGTATGGCAATTGATGTTGGCATCAACTGGTTGTCAACTGAATTAGCAGCAGCTCGTGCGCATCATGCATTACATGGGTGCAGGACTAGTAATATTTGTATGCAACCGGTGCGGGCTGCAATCGCTCAAGGTTCCTTTTTCATTCCTGCACCTCTGCTTACCTCAGGATCTCGGTGGGTGTGGCAGGCAGCGGAGCCGCCTTAGGTGATGCTCAGAGGCCAGAAATATTCGTCAAGATGCTCATAGTGGAGATTTTTGCATCGGCACTTGGTACGGACACTTGCATTATTCATGTTGCATTAGCAAAGCAGCGTGAGGTTTGTTGTAAGCTGCAGATGTAACGGGGGTGTGCCACTTAAATATTTGTTTCTAAAGTATTGCTGTTGCCATCCATTCATTCTTTTTGAATTCGTGAGGACTGGTAGATCTGCTCTTTTGGCTCCTGGCTGCCTAGTTTCCTTCCAGGCACATCGCATACTGAACGACTCCTTTTCGAGGCAGTGTGTGTGAATGTTTCACTTATTGTTCAGGGCTGTTTGGGGTCATCATTGGACTCCTACAGTTGAACTTGGTAAACTTTACGCGGCCGGCGAGAACATGATCGAGCGCAACTTTCTTCATCTTCCTTTGGTGCATTGCCTTTGCAATCGTACGCGAAGTGCCAAATGGACGTGTGCCTCTACTCGGGCGTGAACCGAGTTGGTGCTTTCCACTACCAGCCCGGGGCATTGTGGTGGAATCAACGACAGTAAATTGGTGGCAGTGCAACAGCACAGTGGCTTTGTGCCGTTCATATGGCTGGGGCCAGGCTGCTAGCTTAGAATTTCTTTGATTCCACGATTAGTGCTGCAGGAAGAGCAGGGAGCGCCCTTCATTGCTCAGGGGCACTCACCGTGAGCTTGAACATGTGAGAATCCGCGTAGAAGTAAATGCACAGCATGAGATACACCCCTGGAAAGCTCTCCTTTCGTCGTACATTCATCATGCCCATGCAGAGAAGACGTAAAAGCACAACTTTGGGCTGAACAACGGGGTGAATAGTACTGACACAACTGGAGTTCAGGAGACTGACCAGAACGGTTGACGGCATCTCCTCCTTAGATGCGCTCGCCCAAAGTAGCTTGGGACTTTTTGGATGGTGTTAGACTGCGAGTTTCAGGAGGTGGGATTTCATCGCAACTGCTATATTCCACATTGTGTAGATACAAGCGCCGACAAGGAAAATACGCAACAGTATAGTGGCAGCCTGTTTTAGGTCACTACTGCAGGGCTTCCAGGTGCCACTGGCAACCCTTTCAGATAGATATCAAAGATCATGGTTAACACACGAGGAGAGGATAAGCGTATCCAGCGGCACCCTCGTGCAGCGCACTGCAGGTGCCATGTATCTTGCGCTACGTTTACTCAAGTCCCTTTCGCTCATTTGCTCTGCCATGTCAAGCTTCCCGAGTTCGCAGAGTTCCCCTAAGGAGGCAGTGGTCAGGATTCGGCAAGATTCTGGAGCTCTCTCTTGTGGTGCATTCCTTCAGCGGTACGACGCACCTTGACCCCACGAGCTCTGAGTGACTGATATCCATTTTGCGTTAGATATTCAGGGTCAGCAGCACTTCCGATGTATGGGGTGACTGTCTGCCTGTGCAGTCAGAAGCGTTCTGATGCGGATAGGAGAGCAAGTATTCTATTTCTCTCCACAGGCACTGTGGGTAACTTTGCATGCCCTATGGAGCAGGGAACGTAAACCTGCAAACCTTGGTTATTCACCGACCGAATTTGACTTGATTGTTCTTTTCCTTGCTTTACGTTCGTACACATCATCTCAATTAGAGAACTGGTAGTATCTGGGATTCCTGTAAATAGGGTGCAACACCACGCACACCAAACAACTGTTCCATGCGGGATCTACTATTCTATGCGATGTACCTAGAATCTACGTGCATAAGCTTATACTAGAGGCTTCTACACTTAAAGGCTTCTAGTGCAGGCTTGCTCACATAGAGTACCTGTTCTGTTCATGCGTCCGCGATTGCACTCGGGGCTTCCAAGAGCCGGGCAGTCTCTTCTGACCTGTCGTGCTAGGGGGCGTAGTCCCAGGGAGACGCTGCATATCAAATACTTACCATAATGCTTGCTATGTGAAATGCTCTTGCACTGCACATTGCACTGCATAGAGAGGTTTCGAAAGCATAGTGCCCGTCTACAGTCTGAAACCTCCCGTCTACGTTGAGCGTACAAATAGCAAAGAGCGACACTGTACTTTTCCCCTTCACAGTAAGCATAATTGGTGTTTACTTCGACCTTCAGTTTTAGAGGCTCCATCTGATGGAACACTCGTTAATTTCTCTTCCTAGCAAAGCGTTGGTTTCGTCACTACGTAGCACCCATGGTCACCTGCGCTTGGGGTACCCAATATTTCCCCACGGGGGATGTGTATTGACACTATCAATACCGAAAAATCCTTGAATAACTTTTTATTGTTTTTGATACACCAGGCAAGGCATTATCATTGGCATTTTGGACGCCAGACGATTCATGTGGAAAACAGTTCGCCGGCACAGTCCAGTTCTGCACACCCCCCGAAAGTCGGTCTGCAGAGCTTTTCTGCATTGATTGTGGAGAATACCGCTGAATTCACCGAAGAATGAGTGCAGGAGCAGGAAGAATTCCTTGCTTTACAGGCATCACCACATCGCATGCGATAACAACGGCTCACTGTGGTGGAGGCACAGGCTTCCAGCTTCCACTCGAGAGCCATTCACTCTACTCTCCATCCGCCGAGGTCTTTTCGTTCCATTTAAAAATTTGATGGTTTTCCCCCTGGACATAGAGGGGCTTCGCTGCGGGGCGATGAGGTGACCTCTGCCTGGTTGAGGGTATCTGTAAGGGCGGGAAACTGTGCTTCGTTGTCAGAAGCCTGTTACACCAGTTTGACCATACGTAGTGCTTGGATCAAAATATCCTGATAAGGGTTAAGGTCATATTAACCTTCTTCATATCTGAAGTATCGACAGAAGTGCATACACCAGTAGAATCCACGACGGATTCCGTCTTGGCTCGGTAGTTGCCCTCGAAACTGTATAGGCGCTTGGAAAGTAGTTGAGCCGATCTGCTGGTGCCGCCAACGACAGCAGAAGCACAAAACACTCCTCGTTGCGAATTTGGCTGTTCTGTGCAAGAGTCAAATTTGGTACGGAATTTTGGCCAACGAAGCCCGGCAAGGGGGCAAAATGCGCTAACCGTAGGACTTTGTTACCCACGGGCGAAGAGCGTCACGACTTAAAGTCGCCATGATGAATTGCTCTCCTAACGCCTCAAAGACAATGGAAACAGCGAAGGGGATCATAAAACGTGGTGGTCTGTCGTCAGCAGATGCAAATTCGAATCAACGAAATGATACTTGCGTGCTGCAAGCGGCTGCAAGCCATAATGTGCGAGATCGAAACAGGGCTGGAACGGACTGTAGAACTATCACAGAAACTCACCCTGCGAACCTCATTCAGCTGGCCGTAAGCGCGATACTTCACAAGTACCACTATAATTTAATAGTGGCAGCATAATAAACGGAGCAGGAACTTTGAGGTAGCTATTCTCATTGAGGGTAAGTTTGTTTGCTTTCCCGGTGCTTCGTGAGCTGCAGTTGAATTCAAGGCTGGCGGGTGGCAAGAATGATACAAATGCATCAATCAAAATATTTCGCTCGCTGCTACCATCGTTACCATCGTTAAGGCCAATTTTCCAGAAGGTCGTTGCTTTGGCTGCTAAGAGCGATCTTGTCGGAGACTCTGCCGTTCCCTGTGGAACAGCATTATTTGAAGCAGTTCCTCCAGCTGTTTTTTTTGTGGGATTTGAGTCTGCCGAGGTTTATCAAGCCCAATTCAAACTCAGGTTGGCGTGGTTACACCGTGTCATACCAGTATCTTCGTTTGTTGGGAAAAGTGGTTTTTAAACATTATGAATGAATGAGTTTGCCCCCCGTCCTTCAAGGGCTACGGGCAATCGTGCTGTGCTGTTTGAAGGAACAAAGACCGTTTCTCTCGCCGAGTACATGTCATCACTCCCGACTCGGCTAACTTTTCCGTGACCAGCATTAAGGGGAACCAGGCTTCTACAGCAGTAAGAAGTCATTTTACCAATTCACAAACCAAATTAACGCACATATCTAGGGGATCTATTTTTGGTCAACACTGCAAATGTCGGTGCTGGAGCTAACCAAGTCTGCTCATGAAAAGTGTTCATTGGGGGGGCGAAATGGAATGATCTTGGCACAAAATGAGTCTAATAATCCTTACGCACACTAGATACTCAAACTATAATTATTTACAACAGGATGATTCCAATTAGGTCTTCATTGAATTTGCCACAGTACGTTTGTCCAGCTACGGTGGAGACTGAATTCGTGCTGCCCTCATTCGCAGATGCACAAAGCTACTCTGCCTCCTGTAAGATGTGCTGTGAAGCAAATGTGGTTGCTCGAATGATACTCAGGTTGCCCCGGGAATGAGCGCAAGTTTCATAGTGAGCCGGAAAACCACAAAACCAGAGAATGCTTCATCACAGTGCCATTAGAAGAGTAGAGTAGACGCTTGCATCGATTAAAAAAGTGGAAATACTTTGCATGCATAGCAAACTCGCTTACCGCCTGCAGGTAAAGTTTCGACCTGGCGACAAAAGGACTTATTCCTACGACTTGCATATTGAGACCGAGGTACATAATATACCTTCCCTATTGTCGGCTCAAAACATACGTGCAGACTCAGTAATGTGCTCTGTGTACTTCCCAAGGAGCAATGCACTGATTTTAAAGTCATGCATTTTCACTAGGCCTAACCTTTGCAATTATATATCTCGAGGTGCTTTTCAATAACATACATTCCTGACGACTGGCCTGTTTGCATGCGCTATGCAACTTAGCGGGAAACGTTTTTGGTCCCCTTGCGGGCATTCCAGGGCTTGTGCTCCGTAAGCCTCCCTCCAACGGTTTCTTTGGATGGAGCTATCGTAGGGAAACGAAAGGAAAAGGCAGTATTGTTGTCCAATAATGGCAACTTGGCTTCCATTGTAACATTAGTAGTGCCCCCTCCATTCGACGTACAGCCGGACTCCTTTCTGCTGCCTGTTGGAAGGTCACAGCAGGCAAGTACCGACTAAATGCACGTTAACTCTGAGGTGGTCCAGTCTACCAATCGGTATAAGATGACCGCAGGCAGACTACTAGCTGTGCGATGTAATATATCTATATAACATATATCGTCAACATGCTGCAGTGAATTACTGTTCCAATAGGTAGTCTTTGCAATAGAATCATCTCGGTGCGGGACTTTTGATACTCAAATGGAAATCAAATATGATGATGTAAGCTGCTCTAAACTGCGAGGTGATATTCCAATTTTGCAGTTAGTTGCACCTAGTTTGAAAGGTGTGCAATGTCGCGAGTGAAATGAATCTTTTTGCACGTACGAAACCGCTTCGAATTTTGCAATTTAGCATGCTTTATACTAATGCTTTCTGAAGGTTTGCTGACACATTAGGTTCACAGTTTCAGGCTTGAGCATCCACGAGCATACATGTTTTTCCAGGGCCGCGTGGAAGCGAAATCGTTACAGGGGACCGTAGGAGAAGCTGCTGTCACCCTCTCAACTTCCTTCCTAAAGTTCGACACGACGTTCGTCAACCTGATGTGCGAGAAAACTGTTTGCATTGAAAATGACTCAAGCGAGCACTTGCCTTTCTGTTGGTCTTTTGGATCGCCTAGCGACCTCAAACACGAATCGGAGCATCACCTTGAGTTGATTTCCTCTGGCTGCTATTCTATTAAACCGGCACATGGAAGAGTTTGGGCTAAGTCCAAGCAAAGTATCCGCATTGAGTTTGCTCCAATACAAGCAACCTGCTACAATTCTACAGCCATCTTGAACATTGCTGGAAGGTGACTTCTTTGGTTATTCATGCTACCTTTCATGGCCAGCAGTAGTCCAGGAAGCTAAGCAATGCATGTGTAAATGCATAATTGGCCACTGCAATCACACCACCTTATATTGGGACAGTAGCCTAGATACGTTATAGGCTCCAAAGTCCCTCTTCACCCAGAGTTTAACACTACACGATTCTTCGGACTCATTTTCTGCATATTATCAGACTGCTGACGGTGTGCAAATTTGCTGTGTGGAGAACAGGGAAATGGGCCTAAAGCTGCAACTTTATGGAACGGGTACAGGGCCGCAAGTCAAATTCACGAAAGCAGAACTAGACTTCGGCGACGTAGTCGTGTACACGGAAAAGATGCTTGATGTGGAAATTGTGAATACAGTACGTGCATTACCCGAACGCACGTCTACTCCAGCGGCCTAGACGGAGAATTGGCGGCAGAAAACAAACCTCAATCGGGATTCGATGTGCTGCGGCGGGCAGGGTGACATCGCTGCATCATACTCCGTGAAGCCTCTCGCCGATGCTTTCCCTCCAGGCACAGAGGTAAATTTCAGCCCAAGCAGTGGATGCATTTGCATTAACAAGGCTGAACGAGTGCAGGCGTCGTTTAGGCCAGCATTTGTGGGAGAGTTTGAAGCCACTGCGCTGTGGGCGATCGAAGCGTCTCCAGAAGATATTGTGCTAAAACTTAAGGTATACATCACGGAGTTGGAACCGCTGACGGAAGCTGAAATCCCAAAATACTGCAGCGTATATGGAGTAGACCACTAGGATGCTCTTCCGTCTAATATTGTTTTGCAAATAGTAACATTTTGCATGTGAACTTCAACTGTGTACATGCTGCAACTGAATTGTGGGTGCAGGGCAGAGCAATTCCTCCCCATATTGAATTTGATGTTTCGTCAATTAACTTCGGAGTGATTCCTTTTGGGTTCGAAGAAGTGCGCTCCGTTCGACTAACGAACACCAGCGATGCCCCGCAAACGGTCGAAGTAAAGGTTTTGAAGCGATTAGATGATACATATGCTGATATCAAGGTCAACCCTGGTGTTCTGGCCATTCCCGCTGGTGCCTCCGAAAAGGTGGACGTCTTCCTTTGTCCGTCTAAAGCGCAGGCATACATAGAAGAGATTGCCTTTGGCCTTCCGGGGCTAATTGACAGATATTTCATTTTGCCCCTTCGGGGTTCCAGCAAGACTCCCCAAGTTGCATTGGAGCCAGAAGACACTCTTGTATTCGACGACGTGTTCATAAACACAATTGCAAGGAAGGCATTCACTATCAGAAATACGTCAAGACTTTCTGCCCAATTTTCCGTCACCCTGGAGGTCAGGCGTGAGAATGTAGCAGTTGACACCTCCACTAGCTGGTGTTCATGCACGGTTCCATCAAATGCACTATGCCGCCAAGACTATGATTGAAGAGACGCAGGCTTCAAATGCAAAATTACATTCGGGAACTAGTGTGCTGCGGCCTTTGAAACAGGGTGGTGATAATGTTGGTGCTGAGGTATTGCCGTCAGAGGGCTTGGTATCTCCACTTTCGGCTGTCGCCGTTTCAATCACCCTCCGCCCGTTAGCTCCCGGTGACGTGCATTTCACTTGCTGGGTAAACATAGCCGGCTTGGACAATCCCTTTCAGCTGGACGTATCTGCTTGTGCTTCGGGTCCTAAGCTCAAAATTGAACCGAAAGAACTGCATTGGGGGAAGGTATGCAACCAAGCTACCTTACGTTTGGCTCCCCGTGAGCCTGCAACGGGCTGCTGAAACTTTGTCTGTGGGCCCACTATTGGGGACTGTTTCAACTGTACTGTTAAGGAGAAACTTCTGCCGCGCGGTGGCACACTGTGCTACGACGGTTTGTTTGCAGATCAAATGCCTTGATGAAGTGGCGCAGCAAGTTGAGCTAACCAATATTTCACCGATTCCAGCATTGATTCACTGTTTCGTTCGAAGCAGACATGGATATTTCACGGTGCAGAACTCCGAAATGATTTTGGACGGAGGGGCTTCAGTGTCAGTCCACGTAATCGCCACTTTCCTTGAAGCAGTTGCCTCCACTGGACAGTTGGTCGTCTCTGCTATTGATGGGCAAAGTGTCGTGGTTCATTTGAGAGGAAAGGTAAGGGTATTGACTTCGTGATATTCCTGCATATTGTCCTACAAGGGGGTTTGCACGGGGTGTCAAGATGCTGAGAAGCAGGCACACGTGCCTAATAATGCGAACGCTGGAGTATTCAGGCTGTGGGTTCTCCTGTTGTACTGGAGGAATTTGGGTCATGTACTGATTTTCAGCAAGTATGTACTAGCAACCCAAAACGCAGAACCTTTAAGCTCTTGAACAGGGGTAGCCGCCCACGTCAAATCCACTTTCTGGATGGATCAAGAAGTACATACTCACGACAGGCCAACGACGCACAGCCATTCAAAGTCCAGCCGAATGAGTTTCTACTGGGTCCAGACAGCTCAATGGAGGTGGGATATTCTCGTCTAACTCTTGTGTAGTTCAACGCAGTTCTCAACAGCAAACCTAACACACAAGCAACCTTTGGGGTACACCTCTTTTAAACTTGCACAGGTGGTAATTGAAGCCTTGAGCACGTTACCAGGCAGAGCCTCCCAAGTTATAATCTGCCAGGAGTCTTTCGGTCCTGGGACTACGCCAGTGCGCATCGCTAGAACACTCGCCACTGCAGACTTTTTCACCCCTAGTCTTGTCGCCACACCTTCTTCTCTGGCCTTTAAGTAAGACCCAGCACTAGGAAAGCCACAAATACGATTGCTTCCCTTGCAATTAATACATTACATTGACATATATTACATTGCGCAAGGAGACAAAATTGCTGAACGGGGAAATGGGTGCTACCTAGACTTTCTTGCTGCGGGCATCTGTTATTCTTTACGAGGCACGTGTGGCGAATGGAAAATGAAACTGAACTTCTGCGGGAACCTGTTCTTTTGAGCAATTCGTCACCCATCACCCTTAGATGCAAAGCGAAGGCAACGCCTCCTTTCGATGTAGAGCCCAAATCATTTTCCCTGGGCCCTCAAGAAGCGTTGCAAGTTAGTGTACTTTTCAATACCCTCTACAACGGTCGTCATTCCTCCAAGACAAAGTGAGCCATGGCACGTCAAGCAAGTAGGTGTACTAGGGCACTTTTCGAAATTCGCAGTAATACAACATCTTGGGAGTCTAAGGCACAAGGTATTGGCTCTTAAGAGGAGTGCACTGCATTACTTACTGGTTGCACGTGTGCAAATTTCTGTCAATCAGAGGCTCACTGGAAGTAAGCTTCAAAGAACATCCAAGAGTAGATGTGATGCCACTAGAAGGGGAAACAGAATTTCCGAATGTTGAGCTCGAAACAACCAGTTTGGACTTTGGTTTCATTGTAAATGAAACTACGAAGAGGATTCCGCTTCGCATGCGAAACGTTGGCTGCGTCCCGGTGACTTACAGCTGGTTTTTAACAGATGCTTACTCAGTCAAAGACCTCAAAAGTACATACTCACATTATTCAACCCGATACACCATTGGGTCCGAGGCAGAATACCTCGCATGCGTCAAACCTCACCGGCAACTCAGTGGCATGTTTATTAATCAAATGCCACTCAAATGCCACGTTATTTCAGGCGCTGAGAATAGTGAAACCATGAACTCAGAAGGCTCTGCCATACCAATTCACAAAATCTTTGACTTTGCGCCTTTTACGGGAGTAATTGAACCAGGAGCTTTGGAAACTGTCTATGTACGCTTTTGGGGAGTGCCTAACAGTGAAGCGTCCGCTGTAGCCTTATGCAGCATCAGCCAAGGACCTGAATACCCAGTGCGCCTAATAGGTAGGCAAGTCGTAATAGTCATTTAAGAATAGAGGGATAAGCCCACTCCATTTGAGGGCTGCAAGGTGGTTGAGTCTAACTATGCTTGCCCTCTCCGGGATAGATAATCTTTTGCAGTGCTTCCGTGCCACACGATAGGTCGAGCATCGTCTCCACGACTGAAGGTCAGCCAGACAGAATTCGACTTTGGGGAGCTGCCATACCTCAAGCCGGTCACCGCCGAAGTCATCTTGGCCAATGGCGGCTTCGTTGACCTCAGCTTCGCCGTCGACTTGGAAAGAGTGTCTAGGCCATGGGCCGTGGAGGTTTCGAAAAGAAAAGGACTCATAAGAGCACACGAGAAGTTCAAGCTAGATATCACTTTCATGACTGGTATACCTCGATTCTCCTTGCTAGGCTGAAGGTAACTGAATCAGGCTGTGCGTGCAGAAGTACCTTCTTAAGCTGCCTTTGCACTTCGTATTCCAGGATTGCCGGCGGAGGTTACTGAACAGATTTTCGTGGAAGTCGACCACTGCGACCCGATTGCTGTCACGCTTCGAGGGAGGGGAACATACCGCTGTCTTCTCATTGGTCTCCCGCGGGTAGCTGAAGATGGCAGTTGGGAAGAGTCAGACCAAGGTAAGTGATATTAGCTTTCAGACAGTTGATCGACCGTTTTGAGTTGGTACGGCATAAAAGGTTGTCGCGGTCATAGGGCTTCTCATGAAGGGATTTCCAATCTCAGATGGCATATGGGCAAATGCAAATTCAAGCTAGATATAGCCTCAACTGCGTGTACTCGAATGTGCGACCGTGGGATGTGAAGGAGTTGTGGGCTCGTCCACTGAGAGTGGAACTGCTTCAGCTGTTTGGCAGCAAGCAGCGGAGGTGGATCGGCAAAAACTTTGCAGCATTATGCTGGAACAGTACAATGTAGTAGGTTTTACTTCGATAGCGTTGCAACTATTCCACTGACTGTTAGATATTACAGGCCTCTACGGGGTTAGCCTGTCCAAATCCAACCTTCTACCGAGATACGCATGGCTTGTCAACGTTGATATGCGTATCGTTCAAGGCTGCAACGTCAGCGTCCAGCTATGCCTCGGAACAGTGTACCGGAGATACAATGAACCGAATAAGCAGTGGGAAAGATGAGAAGGAGCCTTTTAGGCACTCCTCCAGCTCATCCTTCTCTGTAAGGTCTACATTACAGTGGAGGGGAAAAAGCGAATATGTGGGGACAAATAAATGGTGACGAGGCATGCAACTAGAAGAGAGATTCAGACAGCATTTTACCTACAGTGCGACGATCCGCAGATATTGCGAATGCGGCAATTCTCCGGTGCTCATCCTACCTTGCACTGTGCGCAGTCAGCATGCTTTGCCAACTGGCGACTCCCTGGAGAGGAAACAGCATTTATTGCAACCCCTGGCAAATACGTTCTTGATTTTGGGAGTGTTGTTGTGGGCCAGTCACGAACGAAAATAGTGCAACTGCGCAATGCGTCTTCCCAGATCTTTGGAGTAAAGATAAATAAGAAGGTCGGTAAGGGCGTGCGGTGAAGGATAAACAAGTTAGCTACCGGCTGGAGAATACTTGAAAAGTTGCCTTATAAAGCTACACACGGGACTTACAAAATTATCGATCGTTTGCTAGCTATGATTGGCACACTTCAAATGGTTTTGATAATCATTGCTGTCGCCAATTAACAATTTCGCCTTCTATTCCAGTACATTTCTGCAGGATCTACAAGGGACTGGGTTTCATGTAGAACCTGATGTGATTAACCGTCTGCACCCGAACGAACAAACGACAATCACAGTAACAGCCAAGCAAGAGAAGGAGGGAGATGCAAATGTTCTCGTTACAGCCTTTGTTTCTGGCAGTCTGAGCTACCAGATCACTCTCAGAGGGAAATTTGTTGTTCCTGACCTCCACTTCTACACAGACACACTAGAATTTGGCAGCATCAAAAGGGGTAGGGAGAGTCTGAGGAACAAGAATACGCTTATTTCTACACAGACGGGGACAGATCCGTGCAGGCACACGCTTGTTTCCTTCTCCCTTTTCGGGCTTATTGCCGAGAAATTTCACTTCCACAACAGTGCAAATACATGATTACACTGCAGCAGATATCCAACCATCCATGGATCTGACACTGGATATCTGCCACACCAGCACTTGTACCGAGTGGACTGCAGCAGCCATTTATGGCGGGGTATGCTGCTGTTGCATCCAGCTAGAGGGCGCTTGATGAACCTGTGTTTTCAGGGCTATGTAAAACTCTGACCCTACGGCTGCGCAATGAGAAGAGCGTCCCTGCTCAGTGGCGTTACAGAGGTCTTGTTGACAAAGGTGACAAAGCGCAACGCGATGCTCTCAGGTGTTTTATTATAGAACCTCGGCAGTCGGTTGTTGAACCAGGTGAGCGTGCACCTACACGTGCCACAGAAATTACAGTCTAGTTTCGCATTACTCAGCTGCCAGAGTCGACACCTAGATGGACTTGGGCGCGACGCCTTGCCGAACTTTCGGGAGCGGAAAGAGTATGCTCCCTGAGTCGAATGAAGCCGACTGCGTTGCCTCTACAGGAGAATGGATTGACTTAAAAATTCAGTTTTTCCCAGAAAAAGCGGAAAGGGAAATATGCGCCCGACTGATATTTTGTATTGAGGACAACCCCAAGTGGAAATGCATAATGGCAACGGGGGCACCTAAGCTTCCTCGGTTGGAATTTGTCCCCTCGTACGTGGACATGGGTTACAGCCTTCCCTCACATGTTTTGCGGCAAGATGTAATAGTCCGCAATAATTCTGATGAACCTTGTGAAATATATTCCCTTGAATTCGACGACCAGTACAAACAAACGAATGCTCTGCTTCGCGATTACGACGGCTTCGATGAGTCAGGCATGGCACTGCTGCCTGTCAGGTAATTTGCACAACGGGCAGAGGAAAAAACGTTAGCTTCTAGTTTCGACCTGGAACGATTTGTGGTTCACCCGGCGCATACTATCCCATTGCCAAGTCCTTCATGGCGTTTTCCCTCCAAAATGTGGCTTAGACAGCTTTATTTGTTGACACCCATTTCTGTTCCAGAGCAACCAAATGCCCTTGGTAACATATTGTGAAGCCAGGTGGAGCTCCTTATTGACAGGAGTGCCGTCACATCTTCTCGGCAAGACTATTCGTGATGGGAGCCATTTTGGAGTTGCCATACATTGCTCGCTTGTGTTCAGATCCCCGGGAAAAGCTTGTTGGTCTAGAGTACGCAAGGCTGCTCTGCGAAAAACAGTTGTTGACGTCTCCCTTGCTACAGAGTGTGAGGGAGGTTTTGTAAAAGCTGAGGTTCCAAACAGCGCACGAGGAAAAATGCAAAACGTTCCGAATGAACCTCAAAACGTCTATGACCAACAAGTAGTAGAAAGCAGCAGCGGTGAATCCGCTGATGAAGGCCCCCAGGAGTTTCCCTACAGAGTTCTCCCGCCCTGCAGGTCAAGTTGAGAAGCCCGCAGCATACGAGTCACGAACACCTTAGTAGTTGGCTGGCCATCTACGTCTGCAAAACCACAGCAAACCTGTTAATACTTTTCTCCAGCACGCCGCTTTGTGATTTCTTCTGTCTCAGTAAAATTAGCCCTTCGTGAGGCGGAAGGTGCCTGATATCACCTGAATGCACTAGTGCGAGCATGTTCAGGCAAAGTGCAATAGTCCTGGGACCAATATGCAGTGGAAAACGCTGCGTCGCTGCCCACATAGGAGGTGAAATTCGGCGACAGCTAACTCTTGATGAATGTGTTGAATGGGCAGTAGCAGCCTCCGGGAAGAAAAAGAAGCTCGAATCTGCTGGGGTTGAGAATGCCCGACTTGTTGAAGAGTTGATTAGGTCCGTGGAAGCTCTGGAAGGAGATGGAGAAGCTACTGGTGGCAAAAAGAGTACGGTAGTGCACGTTAAAGTACTGTACAGTCATCGGGGGCTCATTATATTCGTCGTATAAAGCCAAACAATTTAAAGAAAGAACTTTCTAATGAAAAAATTATATATATATATATATTATATATA